TAATGCAAGCGGAGTTACAATACCATTGTCATTCATTAAAAAAAAAAACTAAGGGAACTTATTGATCGAGGAATGCACAATAGCGTCCCTCTTAAAACATCACCAAAAGTCACACTGCGGTTGCCAACCCACCTGCCAAGCGTGGCAACTACTGGTAAAATCCCCTCAAAAATAAACTGCTATAAGGAACAGCTTCGTTCCTTATGACAGTCTATAGGGGAGACCTATATTCGACAGTGGACCGTTAACGGCTGATACGATAATGATGATAATTACCAGTAATGGAACTGTTAATCCCCATACAAACAATCCCCTCATAAAAAGGAATGGCGCACAGTATGTTATTACTTCACATACATATATACATATCTGTCACGCCAGTTATTGAAGGCGGAAGACCCAAAAAAACCAATTTTATAAATATAACTAAATTTAATTCTAAAATTAATTATTACAATAATAAGTGCCTTCAGATCGATGTGTGATCCGTAAGTGAAGTTATATAAAATCAAACATAAAGGAAATGGGTATTTTGCTGCGGGAATTGAAATGCTGACTCGACCCAGGTGTCTTTCTCGGTAGCGTACCTTCTAGCGTCATGCTAGGTGGTCCGATCCGATCGCCGTTGAGGGTGTGTCGTAATACTTGATAAGTATCTACTATAACACGCCTATCCACCCTTGGGATAAACAGAAACAATCACAAAACAACTTATTACTTCACACTCTACAAAAATTGAGCACACTCTACACTGAAAATTAATTTGGCGTGAATTTACAAGGTACAAAAGATTAACATTTAAGTCCTCAGGAATGGCAACGCATCCCCCATGCGTCATGGGCGAAACAGTATACTCTGTTATATCCATGGTACTGTTATGCTCATGTCTATAGGCGAAGATTACCACTTTCCATCAAGTGGGCCGTCAGCTTGTTTGCCATTCTAAGTTGTATAAAAAAAAACAATTTTAAACCCAAAACTTACGAATAATATGCGTATATTTTATAGGAAACATGGCAACTGAGTCACAGAACCAGTAAGTACGGGGTATCAATGACTTACACACTGACCCAAATTAAAAGACGCCGACTTTACTACGCGAATAAATGTCTATGCAATATAGTACTGGTATAAACACGATTAAATACTAGTGTACATTATAAATTTTACGTTACATTTATTGTATGTTCGTGAATGTTAAATTGTATATTGATGGTCTACCTATCTATTTATCTATCCTCATTATTAATATGAGAAATTAAATTTTATATGCAAGCTAAAATATAAATAAATCATTAACAACATTTTGAGAGTACATTTTAGCGAATAATTAATCTGAATATTTTGTTCTAAACAACTCATGTTGAGTCGAAAATTGACATATTTTGTTTGTTTGTTAGAATTGTTAGCATTTTTTTTTTTAAATTTTTCTACTTAATATATTTTTTAAATAAAGTAAAAAATTACAATTGTCTATTAGTATATGAAAAAAGAAACTTATTATAGAATAATACTACTTCTATTACTCTGTGGTTACTATGCGGTAAAATATTTTTTTTTCTTTGAAGTGTTAAATTTTATTATGTAAAATATTTTTTTTATTTATATTTTTTTAAATAAACGATAAAATTGTTTATTATTCAATGAAAAAATAAATATACCATAGAGTAATAGAAGTATCCACGTTCGACAGAAATTAGGTAAGTGAAGTCGTGATCCATGGTGAGGGCAACCAGGAATGTTTATTCAAAAGGGCTTTTACTTGTCTTTTTATCAGCACCAGCGACATGACATCTTATTTATAGACAGTAAATATTTGTACAGATTACGGTGACTAGGACTTCGTGGCTCGTTAGCCGGTATTTTTTGTCAAATATAACGCATGATTGAAAACTTTCTATTTAAATGGTAGCTTATAAAGGATGGATAATAAAAAGTGCTTTACAAAAGAACTTAACGATTTCTCTCGCAACATAAAGGATCAAACTGACTTGTCAAACATAAAATAAGCGTTTGTCATCCTCTTGAAATATTTTCAATCGATTTATTTGGACATTAATGACTCTTACTAGAAGTCGTTAGTAGATTTTTTTATCATGACACTAGCTGTTATAAAAAATAGCCTTTGTTCTGTTCCATCCTATATAGTACGTAATATATCAAATTTCATAATGATTAATTAAGCTATTTAGGCACTAAGACCTATTATTATTATTATTATTGAGAGACAGACTTTTTACATACATACATATCAGTTACGCCTGTCTCCCATTAGGGTAGGCAGAAACAATGGAACGCCAAATGCTTCGATTCGAACAAACCTCTTTCGCTTCTTCCACATTCATCAATCTTTTCATACACGCTCGCCGGTTACGGGTACTTTTAATTTGGCCCTTCTTCAGCATGTCGCCTATTTGGTCAACATACGTCCGTCTAGGGCGGCCCCTACCGACATTTCCATTCATTCTTGCTCGATAAATCTCTTTCGTAATTCTTCTTTCATCCATCCTCTCCAAATGATCAAACCAAACCACCGGACTTTTTCTGCCAGAAAAACCTGTAACACTGCGACGTCTATGATCATTAGTGCTCGCCCTTTTTCAAGTTTACTGTCAGTGATAGGAATTTTAAGATGTTCTTTACAGTGGTGTTTTTTATCTCCTTCAAATTATAAAATGCAAGGGGAAAGGGATTGCTAGCAATGTAGTCTAACTGACCCATTTGAGTTAGTCAGAATCATTATCAGATCAGTTATCAGAATCATTAAACAAACTTTTCGAAGTTATGGATAAAATCCTTTACGATGTTTATGCATATAGTGTGAGTTGGGAAAATTTAACTATTTTTTTCCAAAAAAATGCCATAAATTACACTTATACCTAAATTATGGCTTATCAAATATCTCTACATATCCTATAGGTTAACTGGTAAAGAATACCTATAGCATTAAGTCCGCCTTTTGTACCACATTTCATTGGTCAATAAAGTTTAAATAAATAATCAAATATTAATCTCTCTTTACATTAATAGGCTCTTTACATTAATAGGTATTTTGATTAATCTAAATTAGGAAATACATTGTAACCCATAGATAAAAGATGGTATTTACCTGTGGTCCTAGGAACTTGAAAAGTACCTACATTTTCATTTAATTTTCAATGCTATAGGTATATAATGTAAAGTTATAGTGTGAATGCCATGCAGTCGTGATGCACGTGACACCAACCAGTGTGAGATGTCCCGTCGTTAGTCGCCACTAGGGTTGTTACCTTACTATTAATTATTATGAATCCATATTATCTTTGACTAGCTGAACCTACAAATTCTATTTGTTCTCTAAAGACAAAAAGAATATTTTTTCAACCGACTTCAAAAAAGGGGATTCTCAATTCGGTTGTATTTGCTTATGTTTGTTACCTCACAACTCAATTAGTTCAATTTACAATTTTTGTTTTTTATCTAAAAGGATACATACAAATTGATCCCACAGAAATTTTATCAAAATCGGTTCAATAGTTTAATTTTGAAATAAAATAATTGGTTTTGTCAAAATTGAAGTCTGTTTTTTTTTTTATAGATTTCAATCTTACTCGTAATTCTTCAAGTAAAGTAAATAAGTAATTATAAGTTAATTAATAAATAAGTAATTATAAGACCAGAGGGAGACTTTGTACATAGTCGATTGCTTGGGTACCTCTGTCCCATTCGTGTTTCAGCCGTGAAGCAGTTGAGTTTGCATGGCTGTGTTTCGGTTTGAATGGTGGGATATGGCGTGAATTTACTGGGTACAGATGAATAACACCTGAGTCCTCAGGAATGGCAACGCATGGGGGGTATCATGGGCGAAACGGTATACTCTGTTATGTCCATGGTACTGTTCATGTCTATAGGCGACGGTTACCACTTTCCATCAGGTGGGCCGTCAGCTTGTTTGCCATTGTAAGTTGTATAAAAAAAAAATTTTTGCACAGTCATTTTTTTATGAAACTACCACCTAGTTCGGAATGCAATTCCAGATTACAAGAACGAAAGAATATTACTTTAAAATATTACTTAAACACAGGAATATTTGTACAATCAATACAATTATCCTCTATTTATTTGGTTATTATAAAAACAAATACACGATTGTGTAAAAAGATGTAAAGACAGTGTTGTCGTTTATTTCAAACAAATATATAAGAATAAAGAAGTGACAAATATGGAAACAATGTAAAAAGAAAGTACTTATGCCTTTACTGTGCTATTGGTATACTTTTTAAAGCGCTTTATTTTATTTAAGTTCAGCTAACATAGCTTGAACTAATTTAAAATATAAGTTTCAAGTTTATTCATTTTTCCAGTTTATCCTGTACTTACAAGAAAGAACACTGTTCCCTTAAAAAATTGGCAACCCTACTGACAGACTGCCTTCGTCGTGTCGGATGCGTCACGCATTACCTACGTGTAAATAAGTGAAATTATTATTAAACGCGACTGGAAATAAGGCAGGCTCCAATTCACATGACACCACACTGCGCTAGATAAATTTCTTGACGAGAATATTAAGCCTTCTCCTTGGAGGATTCTGTCAGTAGTTGCCACGCTTGGCAGACGAATTGGCTTTAGAGATGTTTTAAGGGGGATGCTGCTGCCTATCCCTCTCGCTCTCCGTTAGTCGGCTCTTACGACATCCACGGGAAAGGAAAGGGTGGCCTATTCTATGCTGGAACCAAATATAAAAAAAAAATAGAATTAAAAACAAAGGGATGTGTCAACTTTATTACACCACGATGCTAATTGAGAATGAATACCTCTGACTATTCCATTAAGAGTTATAGTCGTGAACATTATTTTGTGTTACCTTTTTACGTATTTTTCTGTTATTTTTCATTGGTTGAATTCTTTTTTCTATTTATTTTTTTATTTGTGCTAGTTGCTATTTTTCTGCTGAATTAATTACAAACTAATTAGTTATATATCTTAACATATTTTTTAATAAATAATTATTTTATCCACAGTCGACAGTCGCGAGCGCCGCGCAGCGTGTATTCGTACAGGAGCGCGGTGGCGCCCTCTGTCGCATCTACCCACAGATCCAAAGTTTCAAGAAAGGTAATCTCAATCCTATCTACTTACCATTAGAGAGAATTGGCATAAATACATAGATACGGTGTAATTACACCATATAACTCCTCTAACAAAACAAATTTAACACTAAACCTACCAAGCGTCGTCAAATGACCGTTTTTGAAATTTAGTTTAATAATTTATAATAATTGTATAAAAATATTTCAGGCTGGTGTGAAGGTAGACGCGATGGCGGCTCCGAACCCTTTTTGCCCGAACGTGAAGGGCATGTGTTGCCTGATGCTGCTCCTCAACTTAGGTCTCATACTGGTCACCCTTGGGTTCGTGATCGTGCTGCAGTTCTTCGAGCCTCTGTTTGTATGGTCAGTACCGCATAATGTTTTATATTTGAATGTATGAAAATTGGTAGTTATATACAATATTGGTTTACGCTGGTGGAATACCAGTGAGGGATAAGTAAAGTGAAGGTATTTTTTTTTTATGAATGATAATTTATTTATTTATTTGATCAACTAATTGAGCTTTACAGTCTTCGAATGCGTTCATCCAAGAAAGCACTAAGACAATAACATATACTTTATAACTTTTATTAAAAGAAAAATATTAATAAAGTTAAATACAATATAACTACATAACAATAATAGAAATAACATTTATATTTTAAATAACTGAATATAAACACTCTGTGGTCATCTGACGTAACTCCAGCAAGTTGGAGACAAATACATCTAATTGTGGATACACGCTCAAAATATCATTAAAAAAGAGAGGGAGACTTTGTACAAAAGTCGATTGCTTGGGTACCTCTGTCCCATTCGTGTTTCAACCGTGAAGCAGTTGTGTTTGCATGGCTTGTATGTTTCGATTTGAAGGGTGGGATATGGCGTGAATTTACTGGGTACAGAGGAATAACACCTGAGTCCTCAGGAATGGCAACGCATAAGGGGGTATCCTGGGCGAAACATTAAACTCTGTTATGTCTATGGTACTGCTCATGACTATAGGCGACGGTTACCACTTTCCATCAGGTGGGCCGTCAGCTTGTTTGCCTTTCAAAGTTGTATAAAAAGTGTTACTTGGTCGTAATGGAATAGTAACCCAGCCTGCGCTAACAGATCATTTATCCCATCGTAATAAATATACCTGGAATTTAGCATAATGGTTTCCAGTAGTTACCACGGGGATCGATCACGATAGGGTATTACGCATTACTAATCCCCCTCATTAGGGGGAAAGGATTTCCTCCTAGCTAATCCTGTTTGGGTTTTAACCATCCCCTAAAAATACAGTATTACAATCAAATGAAATATTGTAATCTTCCTATATTACTTTAACATACTCGTAGTTCCAAAGCATAATATTTTTTCGTTGTTGTACTTATTTATGTCCGGATCTATTGCCGCAACGTATAGCCTAAATAGCTTAACGGCTTTTATTAAACATGTGAGAGTGACTAACGACACCATAAAATAAATATGGCAGCCATAAACTGTCAAAAACTAATTTAACTATAGATCACAGAAATGCCTGTGCTATAGATAGAACGTTTTACTATACTTTTTATCTTTTTATTGGTAGGTACACCGATAGAAGTAACAGCTTTTTTGTGACTTTCGCGTCCAGTTGTTAATAACTGAAACGTTGTTATTGCCATAATTAAAATATAAAAATTATATTATCGCATTATCTATATCTTTTATGCCCGCATCAGAGTTCAAGTATTTTTTTGTGAGTGATAATTAAATAGTAATCCACCTGTGCTATCGATATACGACCGCGTAGAGGTCGACCTCCCAAAACCCTCGAGTTCCTCTAAGAAACCATCGTGATTAATTATTGCCAAATTCGTCGCCATGAGCCTGTCTTTACTTCATCCTCATCTATGATCCCTCACTGGTGCCATGCCAGTGTATGCCGATAACACAGACGGGGTTACCATTCCATTACCATTCATTTAAAACTTCGGTTGCAGTAGCAAGATGAATATAATGCTAACAATGAAACTGTTAGACCTTATTACTGATAATCCCTTTCTATAAAGGAAGGATATAAGAATAAAGTTTTATTTTTACGCCACAAATGTAACAACCCAATTAACATCCTAATCCCACTACTGGGTTTGGGGGGAAAGGGATTGTTAGTAATGGAGA